TGGCTCTGCTTGCCTTGATGACAAGCACCTCAGCCTCCCTTTGCACACCACTGGTGCCCCTCAAGCTGCCTGCCTGGCTCCGGATCCCAGAGGGAGGGAGTCAGAGTGGGTGAGTCCATGTGTGGGTTCTTTAAGAGAAACTGCTTGGGACTCCAGAAGCTTCTTCCACCAACTCAAACCCTGCTGGTTTTTGCAGCTAGAAGTTGTGAGGACTTAATCTTCCTGGCACTGGAACCCTGGGCTGGGGGGCCTGCTGTGGGGCTGGGACTCCTCACTCCCAGGATATCCCTTCCGAATTTTTATCCTCCACATGCGGGTGAGAGACCAGCCTGTTCTGTGTCTGTGCCCCCTCCTACCAGTCTGGATGGATGTGGTTTCATTAATTCTGTAGTTGTCAGACTTCCATGCAACTCAGTTTCCATCGGTTCTGAGTGATGGTTGTTCTATATTTTAGTTGCAATTTCGTTATGGTTGTGTGAAGAGGCGAGCCATGTCTGCCTACGCCACCACCTTGGCTGGAAGTCTGGTTTTGCACTTTAGATCAACTGAATTTTCCTGAATAGATTCTTTTGTGTCTTGTTTCTTTTACTCAACATTGTGCTTTTTTTTATTTTTAGAGAGAAGAGAAGGAAGGAAGAGAGGGAGAGAAACATCGATGAAGAAGAGATACTTTGATCAGCTGCCTCTCACACACCCCCAACTGAGGACCTGGCCCACAACCCAGACACGTGCCCTGACTGGGAATTGAACCAGTGACTTTTGAGTTCGCAGGCCAGCATTCAATCTACTGAGCCACACCAGAACATTATGCTTCTTAAAGATTCATCCATATACAAATGTAGTTTTACCCATTTTAAACTGCTGCAAAGTGCATGACTATACTTCAATATATTTATTCATTGTACTGTTGATGAATATTTGAGCTGCTGTGTGTCAGCATTACGAACACTGTTTCCATGAATATTGTTGTAGTCTTCAGATAAATATATTCAAGAATTTTTCTGGCATACATATCTAGGGATGGAATTACTGGATGATAAGTATGTACATGTTCACCTTCCTGAGATGTCGAACTGTTTTCCAAAGAACTGAGCTACTCACACACCACTATCAGAGGACGAACATTCCCCTCAACAATTAATATCACCCAACCTTTTAGTCTATCACAGTTTCCAGGCATGAAACGAGCCGTTCAGCTTTCCTCCTCTGTGCAAGTCCGTTCTCACTTTTGCCACTTTATCCCTGGGTTGCTTTTCTTATTATGATTGACTTGTAGGCAGTCTTTTCATATTCTGGAAACTAATTCCTTGTCAGTTACATATATTTTAAAAATCTGCTCTTTTGGGGGGGGCTTTTGTCATATAATGATAGCCCTTTAATGGACAAAAACTGTTAAATTGGTATCAGTTTTGTACGTCATAATTTGCACTTCTTGTGTCTTGTTTAAGAAATACTTTTTTACCTTGATTCCTAGAGACATTATTCTGTGTTTTCTTCTAAATGTTATATTGTCTGTGCCTTTCCCTTTGTTTCTTTAATGAGTCTGGAATTTATTTCTGTTTAGTACATGCATATTTTACCCGGGATAGAAATACAATTCCATTTTTTAAATACAGGAATACTTCATTCCTTTCCATGCTGACATGTACACCAAACCAGCTAGAAACTGTGTTTCCATATACAGCCGAGTGAAAAGGAGTTCGACGCCCTGCCCTAGACTCTAACTCTTACCTCCTGTGCCCTTACAGATACCATAGAGGAAGCTCAACATCTCCGCACCGAGCAGAAACCCACAGGGTACAAGACAGCGCTCTCGCTTCTCTCCTAAGGCTCATGTTTTCATTTCCTCTTTGATCACTGAAGAATGTCTCCTTTCATAATAGGTCTTCAACAGGTTTGGAAAAAATAAATACATACATAGATATATAGACACATAGATGAAGAAAGGGAGGGATCAGGAAGGAAGGATGGAAGGGAGGGAGGAAGGAAGGAAGGAAGGAAGGAAGGAAGGAATAGAGAAGAGAGTGAAGAAAGAAGTAGGTAACGTACTTCAGTTGCTTCCATCAGGACCATTTGAAACAGAGGCACTAGGGACGCCGGGTCCGCCATACTCCACGTCTTTAAACTCCTGGGTTGCAGCTCTCACTCTCTCAACACGACTGTCGGAAACAGCAGCCAATGGGCACAGAGAACCTCCCCACAAATGCTCCTTCTTTCCTTGAAGCTGGGCATCGGCACTTTCATTCATTCACTCACTTGCTATTCACATGGTAAGCGGGTATCAAGTGCCTACTATGTTTGAGCCACTAAGAGGCAACAAAATGACCAACTCACTGAAGCAGGGCAGAACTATCAAAGAAGTACAAATCAAAACCTGACTATGCCAGATAAACAGTGTAAAATACAGTAACATAAGTTTACTGTATCGGGATTCTAAAATGTTCCAATACAGAAATTTTCAAACATACACTAGAGTAGTTAATACAATCCCCACAGATCCATTTCCTAGCTTCAACAGATAGTCATGGCTGAACCCCCTGTGTCTATACTTCCACCCTCCTTCTCCCTCCCTCCCTTATTATTTTGAAGCTAATCAAAGCCATCCTATCATTTCACTTGTAACTATGTCACTAAGTACACCAGTTTGGAAAGCACAGAGGCCATGACTTTTTCTGATTTTGTGTTAAGTCAGGTATCAAGAACCTCGGTGCTTACAAACACCCACAATTCCTATATGCCATCCTTCTCAACCAATCGGAGCAACGTATTCTAACTGAGATGTCTGGGAAAGACAACCCCCTCCCCCACAAGAGATCGCAAATTCTCTGTGTATCACATCTGGGCTACAATAGCTTGTCCATAATGGGGAAAAGTTCAAAGTCCTCTGACAACTACAGTACTTATGATAACTCTCCAAAATACTATAATACTTAACATTAATCATTAACTCCCTCAGCAGAGTCTTGGGGGTAAGAATGTGCCTCCTATTACTCACAAGGAAGTTGGGATCTAATAAATATTTAGTTACAGATGAGCCATCCAAAGCCCAGGCATCAGGGGTTGTAAATTCATGACTGACGCCTGGCTGGCGTAGCTCAGTGGATTGAGCGTGGGCTGCAAACCAAAGCATCGCAGGTTCAATTCCCAGTCAGGGCACATGCCTGGGTTGCAGGCCATGACCCCCAGCAACTGCACATTGATGTTTCTCTCTCTCTCTCTCTATCTCCCTCTCCTCCCTCTCTAGAAATAAATAAATAAAATCTTTAAAAAATGTTTTTTAAAAAATTCATGACTGACATATGAACGAGCGTCAACAGGGCCTGTATGTAGTCCTCAGGTGTAGCTCAGAGAAATGAACTGCTATGAAATGCTACCCTGATTTCCTGCGATCCCATTATAAGATACAAAAATCGACCAAAGCATAACACTCAGTGTGATAGCGGAGACATCATCTTCGCCTGCCCTTACATAAATACATGGAAGTCGTCACAAACGGAAGTTTTCTACTCCAGTAATAAGTAGATTGGATGACTGAACCCTATAAAATAGTGCTTATGTCTCATATGTAGTTTAAATTTGAAATCACAAAAACCTGCAAATGCTAGGCAAAAAAAAAAAATTATAGAATAATACATAGACAAAGGTGTTTCTCCAAAATATTCAAAATGATTTGAACTACTCTAATGAAATTTTTAACTCTTTCACTTAAACATAACTGGTCTAGACATAAGGAAGAATTGTGCTAACGAACGGAACTTCAAAATTATTATGTTTAATAACTGCACTTCTATTCCTTGCTAGTCATAAAGCTAACTCTTCGTTTGAACAATGCTTCTGCACATCCTGACCATGTGTCTTAGTGTACGACACTCTGAGCTGAAACTAACTCACCGCACAAGGCGTGGCATCTAAACACTACGACTTCCTAGTGACTTTCCTCAAACCTCCTTCTCCCCCATTAAGCAATAACAAAAAAATTAATTTTGTGAATATACATATATAGAAGTACACAGTCTCTGAGTTTATAAGAAGTTCTTCCCTGCAGGTTTTTGCCATGACATCTGTTTGCAAAGTAATTTACAGCCCTTTAAGAAATAGTGAGATCTGCTTATGGCATGTCCAGTCTTGTTAGTATATTATGTGTGTGCGTGTGTGTGTGTGTGTGTGTGTGTGTGTGTGTGTAATATCCATATATATATTTTTTAAGGAAATCCCGCCATTTGCAAAAACATGGATGGACCTTCAAGGCATTGCACTAAGCGAGATAAGCCAGGCAGAGAAAGACAAGTGCTGGACGGTGGCACTGACACGTGGAACCTGAAAGGGAAGGAGGAGGATGCTGATGAGAAAGAGAAGCCATCAGACCCACGGAAACAGGGACCACACCAGCGGCTGCCGTGGGCGTGGTGGGGGGGGTGCGGGAAACAGGGACAGGCTGGAAAAAGAGCACGAATCCTCAGCTGTGAGATGGATACGGTCTGAGGGTCTACAGTAAAACTCGGTGACTGTCGCTGACAACACTGAATTACGTAATTGAACTTGACTGGGAGACTAGAACGTCAATGTTCTCACCAAAAAGAAAAAACAAATTTTTTAAAAAAATTGTTCTTTATCGCCAGTGTGACTTACTATTATGTAGCCACCTCTGCCTTTTTGTGTACCTGAATTATTCATGGAGGTTGCAAATATTCTTTATGTGTATGTTAGGATGAAAAAAAATTGCCAAGGCAAGTTCAAGGGCTAACAGAACACCCCTTCCTGGCTCCTTCTGTTACCTCTGTTGAAAAAAGGAGAGGAGATCCCCCCTGAGGAAAGAAAGTCTCTAAGGCCTCTAAGAAAAGCCTCTAGTGGTCATTTCTGGAAGGAAACAGACCGCTGCACAGAGGGAAAAAGAAAGCGAGGCAAGGTGGACTGTGGGGTCACTCCCAGGTGAGGTGTCTGCGGGGAGGAGTTTCTCTGTGCACTCTATAAAAGCTCAGCTCGTTCACCACAGAGGGACAGACTCTGCCCCATCCTGGTACTTACAGGCGCTCCCTCCTGGAAGCCACAATGGATTTCACACGCAGAAGCTTCCACAGGAGCCTGAGCTCCTCCTCGCAGACCTCCGCGGTCAGCGTGTACAGGAAGGGGGGCATGATCGTGGGGGTTGCACCCAGCGTCCACGGAGGGGCTGGGGGCCACGGCACCCGCATCTCGACCAGCAGACAAATGCTGAGCTATGGCAGGGATCTCGACAGAGGGGACCTGCTTTTGGGCAACGAGAAGACAACCATGAGAAACCTAAATGACCGCCTGGCAAGCTACCTGGCAAAAGTGCGGTCCCTGGAACAGTCCAACGCCGAGCTCGAGATGCAGATCAAGCAGTGGTACGAAACCCACGCGCCCGGCACCTTTCGGGACTACAGCGCGTACTACAGACAAATTGAGGAGCTTCAAGCTCAGGTGAGAGGCGATGCCTGTGCCTTCTGCTCCGCAGTGTAGCTGAGTGATATGTCCAGAGGGCGTATGCATTGCGGGGGCGCAGGGGGGGCGGCGAGGGCAGGGTGCAAATGGATGTTGTAAAGCAAATGGGCTAAAATGCTCCAGCTACAAAAATCATATAGTATTCTGTCATCCACCCTCAGTGCTGGAATACCTGACTACAAAATAGGGCGGCTGTAAATCATATTGTTTCAAATGTTTTAAATCTAATTATATATAAAATATAAAAATGTTATCCCCCATCTCATAATCCGTACTTTCATCACAGTTTACTGGGTTAAGGCTAAGTGAATGGTAAAGCAGGGTTTTTTTTTTTTTTCTGAAAGAGCTAAATTTTTTAAGGGTTAATAAACCTTCCTTAGTTTTTCACCTGGTTCCCATCAACTTTTGAAACTCCAGTCAATTGAGTTTCCTCCTTTCACTTACGCAAACGCTGTCATACAAGGGTTAGAATACTATGTTATAGATTTCGATGACAACGTGATTTGGGGTGAAACTGGGGGAAGAGGCATAGGTTTTAATGATACCTGGATTTTTAAATGCCCTGCTTAATAATCTGATTATCATCAGCAGAAACCACTTCTGCCGTAATAAAATGTTCTATTGCCCCAATTCAGATTTATTGCAATTGTATCAGAACCACATCATCCAGGAAGGGTGGAGCTCTCTGTGTTATCAAGTGCATGGAGTGAAAGAAGACTTTGCTCCTAAATGACACTTGCGGATGTGACACGGAGCACCTGTACTGCTCTGACGTTCTGATCTGATCAAGGAAAGTGTCCCTTTCCTGTCCCTTTCTACTTTAAGATTTGTTTTCCTTGAAGGCAAAGGCAATTGACCAGGAAGTCTCTTCTTCTTGTGTTGTATTAGACATCAGTATGATTTGATTCAGATTCTACAGGAAGTTCCAGTACTTTGGAATTTCAGACACTGTGTGGACGCGAGAGGCAAAGCTGTTTACATTGCATCCCTGGCCGGGTAGCTCAGCTGGTTAGAGCATCGTCCCAATAGGCCAAGGTTGCAGGCTCACTCTCTGGGCAGGGCACACACAAGAAACAACCAATGAATGCATTTTTAATACGTGAAACAATAAATTGATGTCTCTCTCTCTCTCTCTTTCTCTCTCCCCCCTTCCCTCCATCCTCCCCCCTCTTTCTCTTGTCCCCTCTCTCTCTAAAAAAATTTTTTTTCATGTAAATTGCCCTTTCTGCCAACAGGTCATTCTTCTCAGGCTCCCACTAAAAACATTCAAAAGCAGCCAACCTTCTCCCCTACCTGTCTCATGGTTCATGCTTCTAAGTCTACTTTAGATCATCCCAAATCCACAGGCACAGCCATTTCTTCCATGTAGCTGGACAGGCCCAGGGTTTGATGAAAGGAAGCTCTCTCCAGGACGGGATCTGTTGAAAGAGACACGTCATTATAACATTTCCTACAAGCAGACTTCTGACCCGTGTGCATCTTAGAGAATTCACCCATTAGGTCACAGCTTCTTAAAAGCAGGGACTTGTCCATCCTGATAGTCCCCGTGCATGGCACAGCTCCCACCACTAACAAGTGCCCATTCACCAGCCAATATTTAGTAGACGCTAAGCAGGTGCCAGCCACCATGCTGGGCACGGGCAAGTATGGCGGTGAACATAAAGCGATTTAGGGGGAAACAGGCATGAACAAAGGCAACATGTATCCCACACGGAAGGATAAAAGCTAGTGCGGAGGGCTGCGTGGGGCAATGGGGGTACAGGCAGTCCACCCGTCCAGTTCTGTTTTGAGGAAACCGGGAAAGCTTGAAGCGAGGAATGTGTAACCTGAGACGTGGAGGAGCATAAAGAGGAGGAGGCGTTCACCGAGTGAGAGGAGCTAAGAGGAATGTTCTAAGCAAGAACAACAGTGAAGGCAAGGCACTCAGTAAGGCGTAATGCCTCGAGTTGAATTAAAATCTCCTCTGGGCCCTGGCCGGTGTGGCTCATTGGGTTGGAGCATCACCCCATAGACTGAAAGGTCATGGGCTCGACTCCCAGTCGGGGCACACATCCAGGTCGGGGGCTTGACCCCTAGTCAGCGCACGCGCTGGAAGACAGCCAATCGGTGCTTCTCTCTCACCCCGCCTCAGTAATGAAAAAAACTGTCCTTGGGCAAGAACTATTAATAAACAAACAAACAAACAAACAAATAAATAAAATCTCTGATGGAGTCACAGGAAAGCCAGCCAAACTCTGGGACCACCGCCGCACTTTACAAGTCTATTATGTTAGATACCCGTATCATTATCCTCCCTTTCTATTTTCAGGCAGAAATTCCTGAAATGAGCATCATCTCTGATATAACAGTAATTGTACCTGAGGAGAAATGCCACCCTTTTAAACTTCTGTCCAGTTGAAAACGTCACTCCTTCTCACGTGTTTTCCAGATTAAAGACGCCCAGCTGCAGAGAGCGCAATGGGTCCTGAAGATTGATAACGCTAAGCTGACTGCTGAGGACTTCAGGCTGAAGTAGGTTATCTAGTGCCTCGGCAAAGCTTCCTCGACAGGAATTTCTTTTAGTCACCCCTTCATGACACCCAGCTTTGCGCTGTTGGTAGAGGAGCTACCACTACATATTGCCAAGCTCTTGGCATTTACAGCGCGTTAGAAACGACCTGGTCTAGCCCAGCACTTAGAGCTGGGCTTCCCTCTTCCACAGTCTTAAGGTTTGGCCACCCACGCGCGTAACTGAACACCTCCAGTAACTACTACTGTTCTTGCTGTTGAGCTCTAACTGCTAGAATGTTCTTTTTTAGTAACCTGGCATCTACCTTCCCACCGACTGAGCCCTCCTCTGCCCTTGGGAATAATAGCAAAGCTATTTAAAACTCCCCTTCTGCGTAAGTGCCCTTCTGTCATCTAAAGACAGTCGTTGGCCTGCCTTCGTGATTCTGCAGTGAGTCACCCACGTTCCCTCAGCTGTCCACAAATGCATGACCAAAGTTCCGGGGAACTTTGACTCTTGATGCTTCCTAGCTTGCCAGTTCTGCAGTACAGTCTGACCGACCCGAGGACGAGGACGGTGATTGAATCCGGTGAAACTGCGCAGTCTCGCAGTCACATCACGCTGCATGTGATCAGAGTTGTTCTCCGTAAACTGCTTCTACACCAGGGCCTCCTCACCTGAATCTGTACACTGCATCTGCCCTGAAAAGTAGCTTATGTTTTAAAAGGGTGGCGTCTTAATGCTACAAGGGATCAAAACGAAGGAAATGAGAAAGCAGATCTGAGGATTAAAGCAGTAAAAGTTCATTAATTCCAGTTAATATCTGAGTGTCCTATTGCAGTATTATTTTTTAACTTTACTATTTTAATTAAAAATAGGAATACATAAAATTGTAGAAGAGAATGCATAGATTTTTAAGAAAATCTTCGGATGCATCTGTTTATAAAGTAATAAAAATAAATTGATCATGTATATTCATTAAGTAAATTTAACCAACCATTTTTAAAATCAATAATGAAAACCCTTTGTTAACACGGTAATTTAAGCAAACTTTTTAAAAATTCTGTTTAAATATATCCTAGAATCTAGGAATGTTTTAAAGTAATTTCAAATTGCCTTCTTAACAAATCACAAAGATTATAAGGCAAATTATCTGATTCTTAGGGTCCCATGAACACTTTTGAAATGTATAAAGAGGGGCAGCAATGCTGTGTTGAAATTGACACCCTCCCGTACCACATACAAAATCCATATTACTATATGAAGATGGTCTCCTCTGTCCTGGCTCCAGGCGGACTCAGTGGTCTCTGCTCATCATTTAACTCACAGGTATGAGGCTGAAAGGGGGCTGTGCATCGCCGTGGAGGCTGACGTCCAGGGCCTACACAAGGTCGCTGATGACCTGACCCTGCAGAAAACAGACTTGGAGATGCAAGTGGAAGAACTGAGCAAAGACCTGGCTCTCCTCAAAAAGGAACATCAGGAGGTAAGAAAACATTCAGAAGTGGTATTGGCAATAGTGGAATGGCTACACTAATAATAAGGAAGATGAGGAGGAAGATTTGGTGGTGGTGGTGGTGGTGGTGGTGAAGAAGATGACAACAATCATGATGTCATCCCTAACTACTTCTCATAAGGTTCCTGTCGAGGTTAAATAACTTAGAACAATACCCACACCATTAAAACCCCTGCCAAATTATTATGCTTTTCTTTCTTTTATTCATGCCCAGTGAAGGGGGCCACAAAACATATTATGTCTTTTCTGCCCAGCCTCCTCTGAGGGTACACTTCAGACTGTTTCACCAACCAGGATTTTCGTTCTCGTAGGAAGTGGGCATCCTACGCACACAGCTGGGCAAAACTGTCAATGTGGAGCTAAAGGCCACTCCAGGCCTGAATCTCAGTGTCATCATGGATGAAATGAGGAAGAAATATGAAGCCTTGGCCCAAGAGAACCTTAAGAAGGCCAAAGAAGAGTTTGAGTTACAGGTAAATAGCATGATTCCAAAGGACAAGCAAAAGTGTTGACCTTGTCCTCTAAAAAGAGGTAACTCTTCTCCTTCTCTCCTTCCTTCCTTCTTTCCCCTCCCTCCCTCCCTCCCTCCCTCCTTTCCTTCCTTCCTTTTTCCCCCTGTTTATTTTTCCTTTTTTGGAATTATAGATTGAAACTCTGCAGCAACAAGTCACAGTGGACACCCAAGAGTTAAAAAGAGCTGAAGCCCAAGTCAAGGAGCTGAGACATGTCTACCAGAGCCTGGAGATAGACCTCAAGTCCTGCCTCAGTCTGGTAACGCACATCTGATCCCCAGCTCTCAGTGTCGGGCGTTCACTAAGTGCTTGTGGTAGGGACTTTAAACATGCTAAGACCTATAAAAATGAACCCCTCCCCTTGTAGAGCTGGCAGGGAAACAAGCCCAACAACTGATTATATTTAAAGGACAGAAGATAATCAAGGAAAGGGAAAGTGTACGGCAGGGCTGCAGAGGAAGAAGTAGGTCTGGAAGACCTCAGAGGGAAAGTGACGTTTAAATTGGACCTGAAAACTTGAGATGAATCTGAAGCTAGACAATAGGGGTAAAGACCTTCTGGGCTAAGCAGACCAGTCAGGGCATGACAAGTTATGCCGTGGTGACAACCCCCAAAATCTCAGGGGCTTGCCACAGCACCGCCTCCCTCATGGTCTGGCTGCGCTGGAGCTGCGGCGCCAGTGTTGTAGCACTTAGAAAACAGCAGTACTCAGACCACGTGATCCTTCTCAACCTTCTCAGAAAAGGCATTTGTCAGTTTCACTTGCATTTCATTAGCCAAAGAAAGTGCTAGGACCAAGCCTGGCGTCAAGGAGATGGGGAAGTCTAATAGTCCACGTGAAGGGGCCCCATGAATGGCAGGGAGGGAAGCAAATGTTGAGAACAATAGTACAATACACAGTAAGAGAAGAGTGAGTGCAAAGCTAAAAACAAAGAAACCTGCCTCCCAAGACTTAGTGATTCTAGCTGGCTGACTGGGGTTGCCCAGATGAAAACAGTGGGAGATGAAGCTAGAAATATGCATGATGCCCCCAATAACCAGCTGCACGAATTCCTCTCAGAGGATATTCAAATGGAGCGCCCTCTTAAATCAAGGCCTCAAGTAAGAAACACGCACTTTTTCTTGTGTTCCTAGAAAGAATCTCTGGAGAGGACACTGCAAGACACCAACGCTCGTTATCAGAGCCAGCTGGCCACTCTCCAGGGGCTGCTCAACTCCTTAGAGGCCCAGCTGGTGGAGATCCGGGCTGAAGCGACGCGCCAGAACATAGACTACGCCGATCTCCTGGACATAAAGACCCGGCTTGAGCAGGAAATCGCTACTTACCGTTACCTTCTGGAAGGAGAAGATATGATGTAAGGATCTTAGAATCAAGGGATATGTATCCGTGACTGCACACTGTGCTGCTTTAACATCCACACATTGAGCCCTGCCGCTCACTCCCCAGCACCCATGCAATGCCTAGCACAAAGTCAATTACACACGCATACGGCCACACTAGCAACGAAACAACAATTTACCCAAAAGTACACACGCACTGCAAAAATACCAAATACAGGCTTTGTACTTGAGGCTGTGTTGTAACACCGAGGTAGAAGATGGGTATACAGACGATACAGATTGTTCTAATGTTAACTTGTATAATTAGTGCACACTTGAAAACGCAATCACTTCTTAAAATTCTCACCAAGAGGTCGTGGACTGCACAAGAGGCCACAGAGGTCCGCGAGAACCGATTTAAGAATCATCCGTGTCGAGGCAGCCACTGTGTTCAAATACCACACCCGAAAAGGTCAACGAGAGAACCCAAGATTCCAACTTCCATTGATATTTTGTCATTTTCATTAGAAAAACTCCTAGTGTATGTTAAGTGGGTCAGTTCTGAAGCTACGTATTGTTCAAGTTAAAAAGTAAGACACTCAAGTTAGAAGGAACAAGCATAGTAAAAGGGAAAATAGGTAAGCACAGGATTAAAACACACATCACTCGGAATTATTTTAAAACAACCAAAAAGGCAGGTCATCGCTTCATTTTCAAAATGGCAGTAACACTTTTTTCTGTTCCTCTTTCCTTTCTTTAAAAAAAAAAAAAAACAGAACCATACATCCTCAAGAGAACATCCAGTTGGACACAGTAGGTAAGTGTTCCAATGTTCACACATCTCCCGTAAGACTGAATTCTCACTCAGTAGCTTACCATTATTATTTGTGTCTGGTGGAAAGTAAAGGGGGATCAGATCCCCAGTGAGCGGATACTGCCCTGGGCACTCTGAAAATCAAGCACATCACATACAGAAAACCTCCCTGTGGGACATCTGTCACACTCCCCGTGACGGGGTGATTCTCTTGGCCCCGTGCTATTGCTGTGCTGAGACATCCTGAGATCCTGAAAATGAGAAATAAGATGAGAAGGTCCATTTTGCTTGATTCACAACTGTATATTTCCCTCTGGGGTGGGGAGAGTAGAAAACTTGTAACTTTGGGGAGAGTGGGACATTGTCAGCATTTATTTGTAAAGTGGACTTGAGATCATTTAAGAAAGATAACGGGTTAGACTTTTTCTAAAAGAAGGACATGCCCACAAAATGATAACTGAAAGCTGAATGTTATACATCAGCAGGGTTATGTGTCTGAATTAACCCTTTATACTTAAATCTAAATTTCAGAGATAAAGAAAGCCAGGAAGGTTAGGACAGTTGTGGAAGAAATAGTGAATGGCCAGGTCGTGTCATCTGAAGTCAAAGAGATGGAAGAAAAGATGTGAACACCTGCCAGGAGGAGGCGCTGCTGAGGTCTTGAAAAAAGTATCGCTGTAATTTTTGCTCCTTACAAGAAGGTCGCCACCAGGAAGCACCACTAATGCTTTCTATGATTTCTAGGGGGTGGGGCATTTATCAGTCTCTGTAATTGGACATAAATGTGTTACTCAAAGGAGCGGCAAATTCCCTGCAAAAATGAAATCCAATGAGCATTAAGATGTTTAAAACATCACCGCTGCCATCTTTACCACAAGACAGATTAATTACAAGCTACAGACCACCTAATATCAGTTCATTAATGTTCCTGAAAATCACAGCACACTTCAATTAAGCTAAACTCATGGAGCAGAGAGTCTATGCAAATAAATCTCTCCCTCTCTCTCTCATTTTTCCTGTTTCTGAATTGCAAAATCTCCATTCTGGGGCTCCTACATTTTTGCCTAAGGTAATTTCTTGGTTAATTTCATAAAATTTTCAATATCAGTACAATCCTGCTAGCTTTGAATGATATCTTCTTCTTTCCCATTGTCTCCGCTGCCTTTTAAAAAACTCATTTCAGCTTCTTGAATAATTTAAAAGTCAAACTCCAATCATAAATGCTGAGCAGAATAAGAGAGGAGCACATTATGCGTGAAGTGGGAGTAGATTAAAAGCAAAATTAATTAGTGAAACCCTTCTGAAAGAAGAATGCTTCTCCTAATGATAATAAACGGCATAAATCATCGGGGTCTCTCTTTTTTATGTGGTGAACATATATCACGTAATGTTGTTTCTCACTATTTTTTATAACGACTGTAATGGGTTATAACTCACATGCCATAAAAGTGTCCGATTCAGTGGTCGTTAGCACGTCCACAGGATTGTGCGACCGTCACCATCAGGCCGTTTTAGAGCATTTCATCGTCCCCAAAAAGAAACCCCATTAGCAGCCTCCTAGCCTCTCACCAACACTAATCCACGTCCTCTCGCTATGGATTTACTTATTCTGAACATGTCATGTAAAAAGAATCATGAATGTGTTCTTTTGTGCACAACGTTTAGAGCAGCGGTATTCGTGAAAGCCCAGAGATGGAAACAACTCAAATGTCCATCAACGGATGAACAAATAAACAAAATGTGGTCTATTCAATAGAATATTATCTGGCACTAAAGAAGAATGAAGTACTTACACAGGCTGCCACATGGACGAACCTTGGAAACATTATGCTAAACAAAAGAGGCGGGATGTAAAAACGTGCATATTGTAGTCTCCCCTCTCTGCATCTTAGTGACCGATAGCAGCCTTGCAAATGTTTACAGGAAAAACTAATTTTTCCTCTATCCCTGCATTCTAGTAAGTGAATAGTTTAGATTTAATAGTTTTGATATATGTTAGCAAATAAATAAAATTTTGAGTGTGATTACTCTATTAAAATAATAATCTGATTCACCTAAGAATAATATCTACCATTTATTAAGCACTTACTATGAACTAAAGAGAGAGCCAGGCATTTTATAGCCATTTCTTATTTAATGTGCACAATAAACGCTACGAGGTAGAAGCCATCTAGTTGAATTGCATGAACTTGACAACATGCAATCATTTTTGACCTTCAAAATTAGCAGTTTTGTGTGACTTGACCTTATCATATCATTCTCATTTACATATAAAGACAAATGAGGGTTATATATGAGGACATGAAGTAAGTACTTTCCCAAATGAATAGCTAACAGGTAATGGAGCAAGACAATAAACCTCAGGGCTGTTTGTCTAAAGTCATTCCGGGCTTTGGGAATGACCTCTACACAATGCCTTCCAACATCTAAAAAGAAGAATGACATGGAATCATATAAAATCAAATCTTGATACCCCTTTAAGCAACTGTCACGTGACAATTACTGAGTCACACTTGAAGTGAGCACCTGCCTATCCTCAGCTGTTCTGTTGTTTTCTACTTGTCATTTTCACTCGCCAGGTACTTACAACACCTAGTTGTCACAGAGGTCCAGCTACCGTCACACACGAGGCTTGGTTCAGCACAATTTTGCCAGAAAAACGTTCTTTCCCCATTCTCATTCCTTTGCTTTTCAAAGCCGTGAAGAGGTTTCACTCCCATTTATTTCTTAATTTCCTTCCGGGTCACACCACTTAATGAACCACTTTTAAAGAACGTTTAGAAGTGAACTCTTTTGCACCCACCAGCACACATTGCAGAATAGCCCGAAGCTTGGACATGCACATGCCGGAGACTGTGAGTCCCACCAACAAAACACGCTGCAGGAGAAGGGTTTGCGGTTCCCGAGGCACGGCCATCGCCATATGACAGTAATGATGCTTTGTTAAAAAGAGGTAGAATTGTTATTTTTTAACTCAATTTCCTATCATAAAAATGACGATTAATCCTCCCCTTTGGTCTGTCTCTAGCTTCTTCCAAGTAATCTCGCAGTGAAAGTAGGCGACATCACGCGTACCTGCGGAACCAGGCGGCTCCGCCTCCCGCTCTGCCCGTGGCCACCGTGTGGAAGTGAGCGTTAGTGTCTGGGCGTCTGAGCCCCCGTATGAGCTAAGAACAGCGCGACCCTATTTCTGACAGGCATGCTGATCCGGGGGATTGGTAGTCCTTAAGTACGGGTCTCTTTATCACACACTCAAATCATCATTAATATACTTCATGACTTTCTATGAAATCATCAGTGCAGAAGTGAAGCCATCACCCTCAGAGAGAACCCCTAGAGGTGAAGTTGGGGTGGCCAGCACTGCTTTCTCTGGGCTTTGGGAATGAACTGCTTCTACATAAAGCCTTGCAACATCTACAAAGAAGAACAACGTGGAATTACATGAAAGCAAACCTTGACCCCTGGACGCCCTCTGCCCTCTCCCTTCCTCACCCGGGGACGGTCTCGGGGACCTGATGACACCCTCAAACAACATTTCCAAGTTAAAGCGCTAGTAAGGAATTTCGACTTTTTAAAGTTTCCCTTCAAACACCTGTTTTCTCTCCCCTAGACTCACTTCTAAAATTCCCCTTACCAACATTTTATTTTATCTTTCTCTTCCTCTCTCTCACCACGTACAATCCTCCCCTGCTTTTGAGAACCCCTGAACTCTGAAGTCCAAGAACTCATCCTTAGGTGTGACCCCCAGGGGGGTCCTTGTTCATCCTCCTCTCAGAAGCACAACATAAAACATCGGTAACCATATGTTCTTTCACCCACTCACAGCAGCTTAAAATTTACTCCAAGCGAAAGCATAAGGTGAACGGACCATGTGACCGGTGAAATGCAGAAAGTGGAAGGTGTGTCTGTCTTTAACTCAGGTGCGAAATTCTACAATCAAAGACCAGAAAAGTAACCAATCTGATAGAAGAAGATGAGCACACATTTTATTTTTTTTAAGATTTTATTTATTTATTTTTAGAGAGGGAAGGGAGGGAGATAGAGAGAGAGAGAGAGAAACATCAATGTGCGGTTGCTGGGAGTTATGGCCTGCAACCCAGCCATGTACCCTGGCTGGGGATCGAACCTGCGACACTTTGGTTCGCAGCCTGCGCTTAATCCACTGAGCTACGCCAGCCAGGGCAGCACACATTTTACTTAATAAAAATCTAAAGATTCACAAATACCACATAAATAATTACTCTCGTTTTGAGAATTCCCTAACCTCTACGAAAGGGAAGGCACAACTCTTTTCAACAGCTCACCCTGCTTCTAGTCACTTTCCTCTCTGCCTCAACTTGTACAGTCACTGCGCCGACAAGCCCAGGGTTGTCTCCCGTGTATCCGTGCCCACCCCCTACATTCTGACGGCTGTCAAAGAACATTCTTCTCACTTCTCAAAATTCCGGAATAAAGGCTTAGTTATTTAACTTAATCCTCTCCACCCCCAAAACAGTCACTGAAGAAGAAATATTCCTCTTTTCAACTTCTGAAGTTCCTCCCCATTTATCATTGCAGTCAGAACAAATCTTGGTCAAAGAATACCAGTACATTAGAGAAAAGTCATTTTCAAATGAAATAAATTGTAAATGACACATTCAACCATATTAAGGATTAAGTTCTTTCAAGTGAAATAACTCCAGGAATGCGCGGATAAAGTTTAGCCAAACATTAGGCTATGCGTCAGGATAAAAGTAAATAAATTAGACATAGTCCCTACCTGAGAAATTTACAGACTAAGATAACATATAATATGTACATAAAGATATAATGTGTAAGCCCTGGCTGGCATAGCTCAGTGGATTGAGTGCAGGCTGCGAACCAAAGTGTCGCAGGTTCAACTCCCAGTCAGGGCACATGCCTGGGTTGCAGGCCGTGACCCCCAGCAATCGCACATTGATGTTTCTCTCTCTCTCTTTCTCCCTCCTTTCCCTCTCTAAAAATAAGTAAATAAAAATCTTAAAAAAAAACAATGTCTGCTTCAGATATTTATTGATTAAATCTATTTTAAAAAGATATAATGTGTAAACACAATGTATAGATATTGAGCAAAATTATTCAAATTTGCATATATGCATGAGAGTTGGGAAGTACACATTTCAACACAAAATTGGTTCCAGGTTCACAAACTGAAGTTAACCATATCCCCATATTATGTGGTCATGTCACTAAGTGACAGTTCTGACTTTGGCCCATTCCCTGTGACTCTGTAAGCAAGCGATATAGCCTGTTTTCATCTCTATGGCAATAACACGGAATCACTCTGCTTGTGCGTGACTGATCATTAACACCCGTAGTGTCAAGTTCCTGCGTGGGGAGAACAAGTCTAACTAATACGTTATAAGATCTCTGGAGACGCAGTTACATGTCAAAAGTATAGCTGAAAACACATGTGCCTCTGTGTCTCCATGATTTCAATATGGCGTCGTTTCTTATGGACCCTGAGAACAGGATCTCTGGGTCTCAGCCTCGACACTGAGAAATGAAATTGGAGGAGCAAGCCTTTTGGAAAAGGAAAGAGCTGACGCTCGTGGCTGAGGACCAGGGCAGAAGCCCAGTCGCACAGCTGGGGAGTCAGAGGGACCCTCTCTCCTTTTTGTTCGCACTGCAAGCAGCAGGGTCGTGTCACCCACAGAAGGCACTGCAAACCTCAGTCCCACCTTCGCTACCTTCTGGCCGTGTGGCCTTGAACAGGTCACTTAACATTCTGACCCTCAGACTGCTCATTCATCAAACGGGATGAAAGTGCCCACCATAGGTAGTTGCCATGCAGGTTAAAAATAATGCCTGTAGTTCAGCGGGCCCAGAGTCTAGAGCACAGTGAGCACACAATAACGATTCAAACAAAGACAAGCTCAGCCAAAATGCTTGTAATATGCACTGAAAGAATCCTTGGTAAAAACAACCTCCATTATGAGACTGAGGCCCCTGGCATTTCCTCCTAATGAGTTTTCATTCTCTCAAGAAATGAGCAAACAGATTACGGTCTCTTCCATCAAGCCGAGTCTGCCTTAGATTGCTTCATTCTTGCTGCATTTGTCTATTGCAAATGAGAATATGTCATTTCTGCCAACCTCTTGCTTAAAACCTCCTTATTTGGAAATCCCACTTGCTTGCTCTTTGGAAGTTGTATTGTGATTGGATTTCACCTGAGGTTCATCATTCCTGCCCCTGGGGAAGAGATGAAAGGGGTCACAGAGTCCTTCCACTCGCCGGAATTGGCAGTGGGTGTTCCCTGCAGAGGTCTGACCCGGGCTTCCCTGTAACCTCTTTGATTTGCCAGTTCTGACTCGGGACTGTTCACAGGGCTGAAGAACCTTCAGAAAGGCTGGAGTTAGGGAGGATAACCCGGCTCTTTGGGGAACAGGGGTTGAGGGTGTGAGCACTGCTACAATTTCACTATACAAAAAAATTCTATTTTGAGAAACTTAGCAATGCTGGTGAACAATCAAACAAGCCTCCTGATTTCACAGAGACCACTAAGGTTGATTCTTATGTAAAGGAACATCTGCTGAAAATACTGTACTATTCTACCCCAAAATAGCATTTTTCAATGTTTAAGATATCTGCTTTCTGAATCAGAAAAGAAGAAACTGTGCAACATCCTAATGACAAGGTTTTAAAGTCCTTGAAAATTTAAATTCCAGTATCAGTCTGGAAAATGCATTTATTCCCCCTTCCACCGCTGCATTTCACAACTATTTCTAACATGATATCCCCTAGAAGGTAGACTGGATCACAACTAGATGGTTTACACTGAGTTTTCTAAAGGAAACAAACAGAAAATATGACAGAAGGACTTTAAAAAGCTTAAGATTGAGAAAGAAGTATTCATTAACTTATCCATTCAAAATCACTCGTTACTTTCCTATTGTGTACAGGACACTGGGAAATGCTGGGGCTACAGGCAATAGAATAATTTGGAGATGAAGAATTCTGTATGAAAACCTATCCCTACTCCACCCAGATTTCTTTTTTTTCTTTTTGTATATCAAATATGTAATGGGCACAATTATTCACTTACTTCTACACCAGTGAATTTTCAATATGCATTCATCATTTAGGTGTTGAGCTGGTCAAAAATGGGGGGGGGGACAATATTTTTTGAATGGAGAGAGTGAACTTTTCAACTGTAACACCCACTTCGTGATCTATAAAAGGGTAACCTTTCTGCCTGGCTGACACGGCTTCCTCTCAGGCTGTGGCCACCTTCCCCCAGCTGTGGGTCTCTCCAGCAACACCATGTCACTCTCAGGGCAGAACCCGGGGCTGTCCTGGCGGCTGTCTTCCCAGAGTGGGACACTGGGCGGAGCCAGGGGCGCGTCTGCTTCCAGGGTTGGAAGTGGCTACGGGGGAAGTGCCCTTGGTTTTGGAGGCAGCTATGGGGGAGGCTTTCCCGCTGCTCCCATGTTTGGTTCTAGCTGTGGCTTTGGTGGAGGCTCTGGAAGTTTCTTTGCAGAAGGACTGGGCACTGCTTATGGGGGAGGCTTGGGAGGGGGGTTTGGAGGCCTGGAGACTGGATTTGGAGGAAGCCTCCTCGGTGGCTGTCTAGGCATTCTCTCTGGCAGTGGGGGAGGCCTTCTTTCTGGATCAGAAAAGGAAACCATGCAAAATCTTAATGATAGATTGGCTTCCTACCTGGACAAGGTTCGAGCTCTAGAAGAGGCTAATACTGAGCTAGAAAATAAAATTCAAGAATGGTACGAAGCACGAGGATCGGGGACTGAAGACCCTGGGTCACAGAGTGACTACAGTCAATATTACCCACTGATTGAAGACCTCAGGAATAAGGTAAGAATGCGGTTTTTGGAGGGGCTTTGGAAATTGTTTTGTTTTTCTTTCTTTCCTTTTTTTTTTTTTGCTATTACAATGTTTTACAGTGATAATCACCTAAAACTTAGATATTTTTTTCAATGCAACTACATTTGGAACAATTTCTCATATCGAGGTATTTAGTTCCACTTTATCATTTACCACAAAGTGACTCTATTTCCACTCTCTTTCTGTAGGAAACACATGTTCCTTAATTTTTAAATATTCCATAAACATGTTCTGTAAAAAATTCAAGTGCTTTAAACTCTTAATAAAATAGCACTGTAACATCATCTAAAATTTTCCTGGCGAAAATATATCTGCAATGCTGACATCTTAGGGCCTCGTTTTATGTGTCTTCCCCTACTTTGCCAGATCATTTTTGCCAGCACTGGAAATGCCCAGCTCATCCTGCAGATCGACAATGCAAGGCTGGCTGCCGAAGACTTCAGAATCAAGTGAGTGGAATACAAGAAAGGTTCATAAAAACTGGTATGTCCCACCACCATTTCTTTTCATTCCTTGTTTTCCTGCCTTCCATGATGGCAAATGTCTCCAACCTTGCACTGTGCTCATGCTCCACACACCCAGTGTTCTGGTCAATTTCATTGGGCATTCCAGAAAGTAACCACATTCAAACACAGCTCTCACATTGCACATCCTTAAGTATAAGGTGCTTAAACATATATTCATATATTATGTTATGTTTATATTCATATGCCATATTTGTCATTTGTATTGACTCGTGATGGGACATGGTAATGCCACCATTGTCCTAAACCCCAACCTTACACATGTCAAAATGAATTAATAATGCTTTTGCCCAGCAGTTCAATGAAATGATCTTTTCCCAGATGACACATACGTCTAAAATATTAACCATGCACTTATTTTTACATTCTCCCCTCCTTTCCCATACTCCACCCTGCAGACATAAAGAAGAAATACTAATGTCCTTTCCGCTCCACAAAATTTCCACAGAGGATGTTGCCCTGGTGATGATCCCGAAACTGTAAAATCTTTTTTTTTAAAGATTTTATTTATTTTTAAAGAGGGAAGGGAGGGAGAAAGAGAGAGAGAGAAACATCAATGTGCGGTTGCTGGGGGCCGTGGCCTGCAACCCAGGCATGTACCCTGGCTGGGAATCGAACCTGCGTCACTTCGGTTCGCAGCCTGTGCTCAATCCACTGAGCTACGCCAGCCAGGGCCCGAACCTATAAAATCTTGATAAAAGTTACCAAAGAAGTATCAATGGTTTAAATTAAAGTTAAGCAAAAAAAAAAAAAAAAAGACTAATTATTTTATTTCCAACTGCTTTTAGGGCCGTGTCTGGAACGGCACCTACAGAAGGCCTGTTACTGTTCACACCAGGGCAGCCAGCCAAAGGGGCCATTGTTTCCTGGGGCTCATTGCTGTTTGGGTTCCTTGCTGGTAGAAAAGTGTCATTACCTCATAATTGTTTTCACTCTTCTCTGACTGAGCAGTACCCTACCATGAAAGAGGAAAGGGGGAAAATTATAAAAGCAAAAACAATCTCACACTGCAATGCTGCCGTCTTAAAATAGTCACACAGATTTATGCACAAAATAGTCCTGAAGACGGCAGGGGACTTCTTACTCGAGCGGGTGTGTGGATTCCCGGAACTGCTTTGCACTTGGTTTCCAGGTACGAGAACGAGCTGGCCCTGCGCCAGAGCGCGGAGGCCGACACCAACGGCCTGCGCAGGGTGCTGGACGAGCTGACGCTGGCCAGAGCCGACCTGGAGGCGCAGATCGAGAACCGGGCGGAAGAGCTGGCCTACCTGAAGAAGAACCACGAAGAGGTCAGCCGGAACACATTTGCAGTTAGAGCAGATAGGGAGGACCCACTATTTGCCTGTTAAAATGGCCACTTGTCTCGAATTTCTTTGTGCGTGTGTGTTGTGATCGCTGTGTCAGCCGCTGGGGCGGAGGGAGGAGGGGGGAGGGGGGAAGGGCATCCATTGATGGAAGCTCCTGTTACAGTTGACCAGATTGAAGGCAGTTTCTGATTTTGTCGTTTTATCATTAAGTGAGGACAATACGAATTTTAATTACCCTGCTCCAGTGTTTTTTGTTTAATATAGTACTTTTAAAGTCAGAAATCCACCAACAATACATGTTACATAGAAACGGGCTCTGCCGGGAACGATCCGCGCGCGGAGCTGCGGAGCTGCGATACGCCCCAGCGCCGCCCCTCGGAGCCCGGCGTGTAGCGTGGACGTTAATCACACTCCACCAACGGGCTTCCCAAAGGGCTTTCTGCTGGGAATCCACGCCCGGGAGACAAACGGTCTACGGGCCTAGGGGCTGTCTGCCGCCCTCGGTTTAGCAGCTGCAACTGAAACCCGCGCATGCGCCGCTGCTGCCGGGCCAGGCCGGGCCAGGCCGGGTCCGCAAGGAGGCCCTCAGTCCCCGGGACACGGGGGAACTCATCCGCCCGGGGTGGTGGGCACAGCGCCTAGGGCCTACGGTAAGTTTAGGGGCCCAGGAAAACGTCTTAAGTTCCCTTAAAATCAAAAGAAAAAAGAAAGTTAAAAATAACAATAATAAGTCACATAAAAAATCTTAGTCTTTAGGTAAAATATGTTTTAGTATGTTGAACTAATGTCTGTCTTACACCAACGGAGGCCCACAAAAGTCACAATACGCCCCCGTGCCCCTCTCGCACTTGCTGCGCCCAGGAGCTGCAAAGCATCCGGTCTGACAGCCCCGGCCAGGTCAGGGTAGAGATGGACGCTGCCCCAGGGGTGGACCTCACCCGGCTCCTCAACGACACGAGGGCACAGTATGAAGCCATCGCGGAGCAGAACCGTAATGACGCAGAAGCCTGGTTCATTGAAAAGGTACCGCTCACAAAAACAAAAGGCTTTGATCGATACGTGGGCAGGAAAGACGGGCCACGGCGACACTCACGCGTGTCCCCCTGCCCCGATTTTCTGTGTCAGAGCGGAGAGCTCAAGAAGGAGATCAGCGCCAACACTGAGCTGCTTCAGTGCGGCAAGAGCGAGATCACCGGTTTGAGACGCGCCTTTCAAAACGTGGAGATCGAGCTGCAGTCGCAGCTCGCCATGGTAGGGACGGTGCACAAAGATGCGGTATCATTTCAGCTTCCAAAGAAAATGTCGCTTCCAAATTATGTTAGGCCATTGGCTGCCTTCCTCCTTTCACTGCCTCCATTGTTATGTCTATGCCGTTTCTCTCCCACGTGCAGAAGAAATCCCTGGAGGACTCTTTGGCCCAAACCGAGGGTGACTACTGCGGCCAGCTGTCCCAGATGCAACAGCTTCTAGGCAGCCTGGAGGAGCAGCTGATCCTGGTACGTGCGGACACCCAGCGCCGGAACGACGACCACCAGCGGCTGCTAAACGTCAAAGCCCGCCTGGAGCTGGAAATTGAGACCTACCGCCACCTGCTGGATGGCGAGACACAAGGGTGAATAGACAACTGAGGTTGGAATAACCTCAGTGGCTGACCAAAGGGTGCACCTATTGCAGCTTGGGGGGGTGGCAATAGAAGAAAGGGTCCTTTAGTTGACAAAAAATAACAAATATAGTAAAGGCATTCCTTGGATTTATTAAGCGCTCTACACTTTGCAAAGTGGTGTCATTCATTATCTCACTTAAGAACAACCCGTCAATGCTGGGGTGCACAGTGGCACCACAGACAAGAGGCACCCTGCAAAGGACTCCTAGACAAATCACCCGTTCGAGTTCTGACATGTGTCCCGATACGAAGAATCACACTTTAAATGACAGCCACCTGCTCCACCTCGAACCTGTGGTAGCCAACTTCCCAAAAGTAGTAGGAGCTTGGCCTAGTGGGGAGAACTCAGACTATAAGCCAGAAAATGGAGCTTCTGAGACCACTTTGCTTCACCTTGTGGCAGGGTCTGAGAATAAAGGTGCACCGCGCCAAACTGATGCCTCTCAGTGTGCATCGTGCAACACTCCTTGATTTTTTCAGCTGTAATACTAAGACATTACTTTTTCTTTCTTTCTTTCTTTCTTTCTTTCTTGGTCAACAGGCTTCTTAATTTAGATTTTATTTTTCAGTCGCCGTTCACATTCCATATTATTTTGTATGAGTGCCGGGTGTTCGGCATAGTGCTTAGACAATCACACTTCACAAAGGGCTCCCCCTGGTATGTCCACTACCCACCTGGCACTGACACACAGCCACTACAACATTATCATTCAGTCATTCTCGATCAAGAAATTCGGGGTATCTTCCTTACTTGGCCATAGTGTTATGAACATGTCTAATTTTTAGTTCAAATGGCAAACTCTGTGTCTGTCCTCGTTCCGGAAAGCATGAAGTGATACACCTCCCTCGTTCTCTCCGCAGTGATGACTGGGATGAAGCCGCACCCGCCACGGACTCCAAGCCTCAAGCGCAGTCCATCGATTCCTCTAGCGGTACACAGACTCCCTGAGGACCACTTAGAATAAGTCAGAGCCACACCTATTAGTGACTAGAACTATAACATCTCATTGAACACGGCAGTACTGTTAGTGATGTATATTTATATTCTGAGCCAAGGGAAAACATGTATGCGTCCCTGCAGAAAAGGAGTAGTCCATCCCGAATTAAAACTTTTCACAAGCCCAGGAGAAAAAAACCTACCCTGCAAAAAGGTGTGATAAGCCTCAGAGGTACTTTTTAAGTGCCAAGAAAGAAAAATATTTTCATTTGTGCATAAGATAACACTGAATACATTTCATTTTCATTGAATAAAATGCATTGTTGAATGCAAAATTCACCTTCGAAAGTTAGAATTGGATGGGGTGTAGCAGTCAATCCCTAGTTTAAAGGCTGAGTTGAACACCACCAATTTCGGATAAATATTTGAAACACTAACTTTTGCCTTCTTTGTTCGGTCTTTATCTTCAGACGCCACCAACACCCCAAAAATGAAGACAACTGTGCAGATAGTGGTGGACGAAGAAGTGATCTTACCCCAAGTTCAGGAACTTGAAGAATTAATGTGAAATTTCACCAGATCTGCCCCGTGATTGCTCCCTTAGGAACAAGGAATTTACAAGTGGAAATTATTCCTTTTAGAGTAAGACGCTGTGTTAGTTCAATCTGTCTTTTTGTCTGTTTCATTTTCTTTGGATTCCTATTCCCTGTGATCCTCTTTGCCCTTCTGAAATGATATTCCCGTATGAATCATCATGGCCATGTTGGTTTTTCTAACAAACGAAAATTGCCTTTTATCTCTCTGGACCTGGCGTAGTCTGTTCATAAATTTCCTTCTAGTGACCCGGAACATGTTTTTACTCACAGGAATTTGATACGTAGTACTGTTTTAATAAAGTAGATTTTAAAAGACAAATGATTGTAACATGAAACCCACACCTTCCTGATTCCGACAATAATGTCAAGGGCACAGAGAGAGGTCTGTGAATACTAATAACAAAGTAGGTGAATACTGGGGTAAAAACACCAAGGTCTGAGATTAAGTTAAGAAGTTCCTTTGGACCCTGGCTGGTGTGGCTCAGTGGATTGAGTGCTGGGCTGCGAACCAAAAGGTCCCTAGTTCTGTTCCCAGTCAGGGCACGTGCCTGGGTTGCAGGCCAGGTCCCCAGTAGGGGGTGAACGAGAGGCAACCCCACATTCATGTTTCTCTTCCTCTCTATCTCTCCCTTCCCCTCTGTCTAAAAATAAATAAATAAACTTTTTAAAAAAATGAACCAGAAAGCAGAATACAATCATTAAAAAAAAAAAGAAGTTCCTTTGGAAGGTCTCTCCTTTTTAACATTTGCCCAGTAAGTTCGCAGCAAAATTATACTGCCCACTGCAGGACAGGACAGCTGTCCTGTTAATTTTCTGGGGCCTTCTTTCATTCAGTCGAGAAACACTTACTGAACCCCGACAGCGCGCCCGACTCGAGACTCTCCTGGGAGGGGTTGCTACAGTGCACGGGGCAAACCCATCGCAGGGCACACGGGCACACGGAGGGGAAGGTTTTACACAGAAGCCGGCCAGGCAGGGAAGGGAGAACAGACACAGAGGAAACACACTGTAAAGGACACAGGGTGTGACCACCATTGCTGTGATGTCTTTTCTCCCATCTGATACCGGGAAGGCCAAGGCTGGCGGCTCTACTGGGGCGGGTCAGGCCCATAAAGTCAGTAACAGATGTCAGGTTCTGGGTTGGGGCGGACGGTGGCCAAAGTCCAGGCCTGAGCAGACAGTGATTCAGTCTGCAAGGCCAGAATCAGACGGCGAAAGGACAGCAGCAGCAGCAGGGTTTGTGATGAAGAACCTGGGCTCTGAAGCCAGACTGTGTTCAAGTTCTGGCTCTGCGGTGTGACAGCAAGTAACAATTTCTGGGTGCCTCATTTTCCCGATCTGCAAAGTGGGATGGGTTTTAGGAAGATTTGATGAGGTAACAACATACATAAAACACTAGGAACAGTCCCTGGTGCCTAGCAAGCGCTCAGTATTTGTGTCCTGTTGTTATTTGCTGCGTGGAACCAACAGGGCACGGAGAAATCAGGGAGCTGACGAGCGAGGAGTGTGAAAGGGAGCAGCAGGGAGGGAGGGAGGGTTTGTGCAGACCTGGAGGAGCCCAGGCGCGGAGGGCGGACGCCCGGGGCAGGTTTGTTAAGCCACTTGGAGATGACTTGCTTCAGTGTGCAGCTTTCTGACGTCACACTTCCTTTCAATGTTTGCTAGTGGTTTCGGGTGCTCCGTTCATGTCACTTGGTTATTATGCAGAGCAAGTCAATTCTCTCTGTAGCCCTCCCCCTCCAGAACATGTCCTAGGAGAACCTGACCTTTCAGACCCAAAGGGCTGACCAAGGCCTTTTCCTGAACAAGGCCCAGAGCCCACAAGTGATGCCTGATGCACATAGTTTCTGTTCTGAGTAACATCTGTTCTCCTTGCACGGCATCTGAATTGTGTGAGCTTCAAAGGAGAAAGGGGTTTTGAACAAGTGTTAATCTGGTGGTCATTTCTTAGCCATTACATTTCTTAGTTTCCCAGCATTCCCTTCTTCTGGAAATATTTTCCCCATTGGGATCCATGAGGCATCATCTCACTGGAAGTTTTTTCTCAGACTCTGAATATTGGCTCAGCCCTCATCTCCTCTCTCTAAACTTCCTCCCTGGGTAACCTCATCTAATCCCATGGCTTTAAAGGAAACACCTACGGATGAATGTTAACTAGATTTACTGTGGTGGCCATTGCACAATACACAAAGTCTGCCCGGAAAAGTCCAGCCATTGTTAACGTAACAAGAATGGTTCGCGTGACATCGATGTAACCTGGCAGCCAAGGAGAGTGGGCTGGAATGTGCACATGTGATCAGTGATGACTTCACTGTACTAGTCGGTGCGGGTAATGGATGATATTGAGTGAGCATGTGCACTGTGTGGCCGTCGCATTCAAAATGACTGAGCAAGTAGAGCAACGAATCTGCATCAAATTTTGCATTAAGCCCTGGCTGGTGTAGCTCAGTGGATTGAGCGCGGGCTGCGAACCAAAGTGTCGCAGGTTCGATTCCCCGTCAGGGTACATGCCTGGGTTGCAGGCTATAACCCCCAGCAACCGCACATTGATGTTTTTCTCTCTCTCTCTCTCTTTCTCCCTCCCTTCCCTCTCTAAAAAAATAAATAAATAAAATATTTTTTAAAAATTTTGCATTAAGCTTGAACATTCCTCCACGGAAACTACTCAGATGATCCAGAAGGCTTTCAGGAACAATGCAATGAGTGCAGCACGAATAAAAGTGTAGCACAAATGCTTCAAAGATGGTGGAGAATCTGTTGAAAGTGATCCACGTTCTGAAAGGCCTACAACAAGCAGAACACCTGAGAATGCTGAAGGTGTACGGGCTGCAATCAACAAAGATCAGAGAACTGTGTGAGGTCCCAACGTACCTACTTTGAAGGGGACCGAGGCATCATTGTCCTATGTACAATGTTTCTTGTATCTTGTCTCTTCTTCAGAAAAGGTCTCTTTTCCAGATTGCATGGCTGGATACTTTCTGGACAGACTTCATACATAAACATGGAATCATTGTGTTGTACAGCTGAAACTAATATAATGTTGTATGTCGGTTACACCTCAGTTAAAAATGAACAAAGTGACCATCTACACGTTGATTAGTTCTCGTGGAGACTCCCAAGACGGCCCCGACGATCCTCACCGCTTGCTGCTCACGGCCCTGTGTGCCGTCTCCTCCCACGACCAACACAGCGGGCCTCCTGGACAAGTGACAGTGCGTGACCTTCAGCGTCAGGTCCCACGAGCATCTCAGGTCTGGCTTGGTCACTTAGAGAGCTCACTCTGAGAGCAGTCAACTGCCCTCAAGGTTATTCCATTCAGGAAAAAAAAAAACCTACCTGAAAATATCAGTGATTTCATAAAATTTCCCATCCAAAATCAGTGTTATTCTGATAATATCTCAGTTGAAATATTCTACGGTCCTCAGCTGGCGAAGGAAGCGTCGTGCTTCTCATTGAATGTACTTTGCCCTGCACTGACTGCCAAGAGTTACAAGTGGCTCCGCATCCTTCTCGTGAGGTTCCAGCCCTCGCTCACCGGACCACAAGCCCTGATCCAATACAGAAGCGAAAGGTCCTTTCGGACTCAGCCACTAATGAGTTACAGAAGCGAAATCTCTATCTTTAAATAAAGCAACTCGTAAGAAAAGAAAAATTCCACCACAGGATAGACAACAAAAGACCAGCATATTATTTATGACTATTTTAAAATCTCAATTTTTACTTCTATATGCATTTGTTGTGTGTCCAGGCTAGAAAAAAAGTCTGGAAAATACTGTTCATACTAACCTGTTACAGCGGTTATGTCTTGGCTATTAGCAGGGAACTTGAGGAATATTTTAGTTTTCTATTGTACATCTTTTAAAATGCTTAACAAACTACATGTATAACTTTGATATTGGGGGTAGGTAATTTTAGCTACCCAGAACAAATAGTCTACAAGTAAGTAGGTCACAATAGAAAGGGAAACATCTAGAAAACAACCATCTGTTGCCAAAGCAGTCACTTGTTTAGGCTATGCAAGAGCACCACCTATTGGAATATTAGGAAATGAACTTCAAAAAACTGCCTCATTTCTCTCCTGGTAGGAACGTAAACTAAGTAGTACAGCCACTCAGGAAAATAGTATGAAGGTTCCTCAAGAAGTTAAGAATAGAGTTACCATATGACCCAGCAAACCCTCTCTGGGTATCTACCCCAAAAATCTGTAAACATGTGTTCACAGAGATACGTGCACCCCTGTGTTCACTGCAGCATTATGCACAGTGGCCAAGGCCGAAACCACTCAAGCGTCCTCCCATAGACAACTGGATAAAGAGGATGTGGTTCACATATACAACGATACTACTAAGAAAAGATGAAATACTGCCATTTGCAACAACATGGATAGACCTTGAGAATACGATGCTAAGTGAAATAAAGTCAGACAGAAAAAGCTAAGAAGCATATGATTTCACTCATGTGTGGGATATACAACTGAAAGGAAATCATGAACAAGAAAAACGAACAAACAAGAACTAGGACAACAGCAACAGTATGGCGGTTACCAGAGGGAAGGGGTGTGCGGGGCAAAGAAGGGAGAAGGGGCTCAGGCAGAGGAGCGCAGGGACGAGGGGTGACCTGACCGCGGGTGGCGGGCACACGGTGCGGTATACAGGTCCTGCACCACGGAAGCGTGCACTTGAAATCTATGTGACCTTCTTAACCGATGTCACCCCACATAAATAAACAAAAAAAGGTTTAAAAACTGCTTTTCAAACCACTTGAGATATACCTGTTGATATTAGAAAGTTTGGCTATCTTTTTTTAAAGAAAGGACAAGAGAAAAAATCAAACCCTTTTCAAAGCATAAACTTAAACAGGTGGTATTTGTTTACAGAAAATTCACCAATAGGAGGCAAGTTCTATAAGGCATAAAGAAGAAACTAGTAATTATCTAGAGTTTAGAGAATCAGACAGACAATCTGAACTACTCATGCTTTTTATAATATGCTCAAAACATCAAGTGAAAAATTTAGTCACATAGCTGAGTAAATGGCTTTTTAAAAAAGATTTTATTTATTTATTTACTTAAAGGGGAAGGGAAGGAGAAAGAGAGGGAGAGAAACACCAATGTGTGGTTGCCCCTCATGTGTCCCCCACTGGGGACCTGGCCCGCAACCCAGGCATGGGCCCTGACCAGGAATCAAACCGGTGACCCTTT